TTTTTTTTTTTTTCATTTTTGGGGGATTTTTTTAGGGTTTTTTTTAGGATTTTTTGTGGATTTTTTTATTTTGGGATTTTTGGGGGGATTTTTTTTTAATTTTTTTGTGTTTTCTGGGGAATTTTTTGGGATTTTTTGGGAATTTGGATGGATTTGGGCGGATTTTGTTGGATTTTTGGTGGATTTTGGGTGGATTTGGGCGGATTTTGTTGGATTTTGGGTGGATTTGGGTGGATTTTGGGTGGATCCAGGTGGATTTTGGGTGGATTTTGGGCGGATTTTGGGCAGATTTGGGTGGATTTTGGGTGGATTTGGGCAGATTTGGGTGGATCCAGGTGGATTTTGGGCAGATTTGGGTGGATTTTGGGTGGATCCGGGTGGATTTTGGGCAGATTTGGGTGGATTTTGGGTGGATCCGGGTGGATTTGGGCGGATTTTGGGCGTTCCCAGATCGCCGAGCGGGGCCTGCAGCGCTCGCTGGTGTTCGAGGACGATTTGCGCTTCGAGGTTTTCTTCCGGAGCCGCCTGACGGAGCTGATGGAGCAGCTGGAGCAGGCCGGGATCTCCTGGGACCTCATGTGAGCCTTCATCCTCCTCATCCTCCTCATCCTCATCCCAAAACTCATCCCAAAACTCATCCCAGTGCCCTGGGACCTCGTGTGAGCCTTCATCCTCCTCATCCTCCTCATCCTCATCCTCCTCACCCCGCTGCTCCCCATTTCCTGAGGCCTCTTGGATCCCACTGACCCCGCTGATCCCGATAATCCCATTGATCCCGATAATCCCATTGATCCTGATAATCCCATTGATCCCGATAATCTCATTGATCCTGATCCCATTGATCCTGATCCCACTGATCCCATTGATTCCCCTGACCCCACTGATCCCTGATCCCATTGATCATTGATCCCATTGATTGATCTTGATAATCACACTGACCCCATTGACCCCCTGACCCCGATCCTGACCCCAATCCTGACCCCACTGACCCCTGACCCCAATCCTGACCCCACTGACCCCAATCCTGACCCCACT